TAGGACATACAGACAGGTCAGCTCTCTGCTAGGGAACTGTACTAAGAGCACATCCATAGTATTTAAACAACAGCAAAGTATTGGGGGAAGGGGTACAGAATCTATTGCTGCCCAGAAGATAGCAACTTTGGAATCTGGTCTCTTGTTCATGAGCTGAAATACCCCAGAACTCTTCTGCAGAGCCAGCTTTTCCAGTGCGTTCCTGGCACTTTCCTGACCCTAGATGTCAGAAACCTGGCATGTTAGGAAAGAGCTAAACTGGACTTAGCCCCTTGTAGATGTTCTCTGTTAAACTGCACTGTAAGGCAAAATCCATTAAGAAGTGGGTTTTGCCCACAAAAGCTCATGATACTAAACATATATTTTTGCTTCTGCACTGTAAGGCTTTAAATCCATGAAGAAGTGGGTTTTGCCCACAAAAGCTCATGATACTAAACATATATTTTTGCTAGTCTCTAAGGTGCCACAGGGACTACCTGTTGTTTCCCATGATGTACTGTAACTTTCTAGTGCACCCACAACCCTTGCTTATAAAAGCTTGTGACAAATATCTACCATATTTCTTCAGATAATCCTGCCCTCATCTTCCAATAAGCATCAGTCAAAGGTCGTGACGTTCTTCAATAAGCAGCGATGTCAAACTTACACCAAAGTCTGATGCTCAGGAGTTTTTTCTGTGCCTGCAGTTACACTGATCTATTTTGCAACCCCTGCAGATGTGAACTCTTTTGTCCTTTGCTCACGTTAGGGAAAGGTACTAAAGAATGGGTGTGGCAGCAGGGCTTTACTGGAAAAGCCAGTCTACTTGGAAATTGGAAATTTTTAGATCCAGATTTCAAACATCTTTCTGGGGTGTGTGGATCCAGAGTTTTTAGCTGGGAACAAGACCTGCCTGCAACATTTGGTGCTGGGCTCGGATTCTGAATCATATTCGACATCAGGAGTGTTTATATCTGGGGTAGCCTCCTGCTCATGGCACACTTCAGTAGGTACCGCACTTCAACATCCTGCCATGCTCTAGACAGCACAGAGCAATACAACTCAATAGGAACAACTCTGCAATGTGTACCTGTTCAGGTTTGAGGCTCTTCTCCGCAGGAAAACGCTAGGTAACCCATGGCCGCAGCTATACAAAGCGATGACTACTCAAAGGCATACCCTCACAGACTATATAGGTTCAACCTGCTTGCACTCCAGTTGTGAGAATGGACATATCTGCCCAGGCACAACACAGTCAGATGTATTAGACGGGCTATTAATCCAAGTGAACAAACAACACTCGACAGATCTCATTAATGGCAACACATAGCAGTCTCTCTCTTTCTCTCTCTTTGACAAAGGCATTTTCCTCTTTATCTTTAGAGCCTTAGTCAGTATTCATGAAAAATAGGTCAGTGTGAGGCCTAAATTGCTTTCAAAACTTCAGCACTGCAATGCAGAGCTTTGATTTGGGGAAGCTAAAAGTCCTTTGAACAAACGGCTAACGTGATGTTCTTTGTCAATCCAGAATGATTTCTCTGTGCTCAATTAGGCATGCTGGAGCTTCCAAACTCAAATGTAGTGTTTTCTCTCTTTTTAATAAAAAGCTTAGTATTTTCTTTTCAGACATGAAAAAGGGTATTGTGACATTTTAGGGATCCTATCTTAACTGCTTAAAGAATTAACAGAGTATTACATACAAACAGAACAATAGCTACACAAGGAGGTTTGTTTTGAGACATACTAGCTTACACAGCCCAAAGTGCACTAACAAAGCTCTTTAGATTGTGTTCGTTCTAGTACCATCAAGTTCACTAACATGGTTTATTCTATGGTACAAGTTCAGTGCAGCATGTTTAAACAAGACTGGCAGATGAACTGTGATATGTAGTCACTTTAATATGAAACCTACAATACAGTGAGAGCAAACCCTCGGATATTTGCCTGGATTTAATTTCAGTGAGTTACAAACAGTGAGAGAACGAAGTACAGTAATTATATCAGTTCAAACACACATTCCCCTTTAAGTACTAATCCTAAGATAGGACTCTGCAAAGCTACATAGGTTAACACTGAATATTTCCTTTTATTTTTATTTTTTTTATTTTTTCCTTTTTCTTTTTTACAAAATCAAAGTGCAACACAAAGTACCACACGGTATAAATCCTTATGAAATTTTGCTCCCCATGCCCCACGATTGGTTTAGAAATAAAAAATACAAGCGATCACAATGATGGTGTTCCAGCTTTGCCCGTTTGCTTGCTTTGGGGGAAGAGAATCAGAGCGTGACTCCTTTAAAAAAAGTTCCTTCAAAAACATAAACTCCTGGTTTAGAGCTGCTGACATGGTAAAAGACCAGGCTAAAATCAAACCATCAAACCAGCAGCAGGGAGAGCAGCCCTGATGCACCTCAGTTAAAACTAGGCTCCCGCAAGGTGCTAGGCTGGCTGCATATGCTCTGCGAGCAGGTACTCCAGCACAGGTTTACCTTTAAACACAGGAGCAGTCCCGTGGAGCTCAATGGAACTGCTTGTGGGCTTAAATGCTGAACTGGAGCCTTCCACTGCTGTGGACAGCCTAGATAATTCATTTTTTTTTTAAAAAGATTCTAGAATCTAGAAGAACAGAATATTTAACTGGCAAAAAACAACCCAAAACAGGGCTATCAGGTTCCCCTTTGCCAATCACTCTCATGTCATCCTTAGGTAACGGTAAAGGTCCTGTGTACGCGTGATCCAAGTCCAGAAATTAGCACAGGCACTGAACTACGGTCAACATCATTAACTTGGGCTGGGAACCGAGTCCAGGCCTGCTGGCTGTACAAGAAATTATTCCCCATCACTTTATTTATTCATTTGTAAAAAAAAAATGACTCTAGATTGACTCCAGAGGAGCTGACAGCCTCCGCGCACCCCTGGGCACAGCGTGTGTGGGAGGGCAGCTCTGCTCTCCTGGAAGGGGTGGAGCCTCGGGAGGAAGGGATTGGACGAGGGGTGGTCAGCCCTTAGAGCCACCCACAGTGTGGTGCCTCCCCCAGAGCTGCCATGTGGGGCTCAGATGGCAATATAGAGAGCCTAGTGCTCTGACCACCACGGCTGCCAGTCGCAGCAGCCAGGAGCCCTGGGCCCCTTTGAATCTCCAGGCCCTGGACAACTGCCCACTTTACTCCCCTTCCTGGTCAGCAGCCTGACTGACCCACTACCATTACACCAGAGCCCCAGAGAAATCAGAGTTTCAGACATGCCTTGGGAGGAATGGGGCTCTTTTGGCACAGCTTGAAAAGAACACAACATTTTTCTCTACCAAAACAGAAACAACCCAACCCCCAAACAACCTCTCCCCTGTCTTTTGTGCTGGGTTTGGAGATAATAACTGAAAAATAAATCATAAGCACCATCACCATCACTTGTATTCTTGCCTCCTTCCCTCTGCCCTGCTGCAAAACTTTATTGCTCTACTCAGACACCTCACAAAAAGCCAACAAACTGGAAACTACATCTGGCTGACTACACAAGCACTCCCTTTCGGTAATTCCATGGTTAAAAACAACCAGTGACTTGCTTACATCCCACCGGCCGTGCAAGCCTGTTGCCTTTAGTTTCTAAACCAAACTAAATGACTGATTGCCCTCATTTTCCCATCTCCTCCAGTTAAGTGCCTTTTAGCTAGTAAGGCAACAAATTTATTGCTATTGCTTCATGTTAGTCACCATATTTCCTATTCTCTTCTGTTCAAAGCAGTGTGACCTCCCTGTATCATCCCATCCACTGGCATATGCCTTGTAATGCTTTTTATTCTTTACAATGTAAGAAACGGTGTTCAGTTCAAGCTCTCCCTGGGACTACCCTGGAGCTAAATTGTATTGAAAGATACAAGACCAGCACCTCGATTTCCTGTTGTGATCTGCCCAGTGGTATGGTAGTTATGATCAATTAGCAATCAAAGTGACTGAAGACACTTGCACCTGCTTTAGAACCCAAGTTACACTGTGATGCAAAGTGCCCCCAAGTGAGTTTGAACTAAGAAGAGGTCTTGATATAGCCACAAACCTCACACTGCTGTCTCTGTGCCTAGAGTGGGTGGAGGGCAAAACAGACCTATATTCTCCCTAGCTTGACCTTAAATCACTCTTCTCCATCAGCTTATCCACCTCTCTTCCCAAATCGCTGGCCTCTGTGGAGGCTATTCCAACTAACAACTGGAAATCCCTTTGTTTCCTTTTACAACTGCCCCGCATACATCTGTGTTAGCAAGTGAAAGAAACCATGCTGTTTATTACACAGTGAAATTAATACGGACCGGCACGGGGTGTGTGTGTGTGTTTTGTTTGCTCAAGAAGATCCAATTCCTATGGCAACGTGTGTCTCCCTTCCATCTCTCTGCTCTCATTGGATGGCGTGTATTCTCCCAGTTTTAAAAAGCAGACCAGCCCCTGGTGTTGAACAGTCTTTCTGTTTCCTAACGCAAGTGATGCTGCTAATAAATGTTGTTATTCCTACAGAAGAAGGAAGGTGCTCAGTATTTAAATGCAGGGAATGAATTATAGCCTACAACAACACCTACCTGGAAGACACCAATTTTCTTGTAATGTGTTTTGGAAAATTAAATAATGTATATTATTAAACCAACAAATAATCAAACAGAAAAAAGAAACCAAACTGGAAGAAACTTGTCTACCAATGCTGTGCTTTTCACATAGTACCCTGAACATCAATTGCTCTTGCTAGTCAAATAAAACCTAGACTCTCATCAACAACAAAAACCAACCAACCAACCCCCTGGGATCTTTGCACTACTGAACTTGGCACCATAGAAAAGTGAATATTCTGAGCTTTCATATGAGAGGACCAAAGAGAGAACTTGGCTACTGCTCAGGGCCAGTAGGTGGTGTTACACAATTTGGGTGGGACTGAGGAGGGAAGGAGAAGGGGCGGGGGGGG